ACATTCAGGCAATGAGAGGCTTTCAACGGATGTGTGCGCTTCTACGAGATGCCAACATGTCAAAAAAATGTATGGGCCCAACCCTTATGTGTGTATGTATGTATTTTTGAAAAGTCTGTTTCACTCATGTTATGGGTCAGGTTGTTTGGTTGTGTTTTGTTGTGGTTTTCTTTGTTTCTACAGGTTACCAGCTAAGGATCCACCTGTTCTTAATTGGAGGACTGCGTATTTAAAAGATCTGTCCTTGTTTGGAGAGGAGCCTGGTTCCTTTCTCAGAACATCCTGCAGCTAGACCTTTACCATTACCTTTATTTTAATGTTTTTTTTTACATTATTAGTTTATTTGTTGTTATTAATTCATTATCTTTATTTGGAACCCCTAGACTAAATAAATGTTTTGTTTAAGATGATATTTTTGGACGCAGTTCCCATATTTTTTGTTGACTTCCTGAGCCGGAATATAACACTCAGTTTTGATACTGTTTAAAGGGGTCATATATATGATGCGATTTCAAATGTTCCTTTCTCTTTGGAGTGTTACAAGCTTCTGACTCTCATTGGTTTTCTTTTGAAATGCTGAAATTTACAACTGCCCAGTAGCATGTCTCTCCGACCAACAGAGTTTCCCACCATTCCCTCAAAACAAACAAGCACACATACACATTTCACTTTGACATCTTTCATGCTGGGTTTTTACACAAAACACCTGGAAATCCCACACAATGTGAAAGAGGTAAAGTCAAAGTAAAACAAAGGTGAATAAGCAGGTGTCCACCAAAGCGTTTTTCCCAAGGCTGACGTATTTTTTCAATTGTTTTCAAAGGGAGCGCCGCTTTTTTTTAAACGCCAGGAGTGTGCTGAGCGCTGAGTGTCTATTTCACACTGAGCGTTGAGTGATTAAAGTTATCAGATTTATCCACTCAAATTTGGCAAGTCAACCGTCAAAGTTTCCCAGAACTACATGTGACAAAATAACTGCTTACGAAAACAGTGAGTGCATTTTTGGGGGGAGCTTTCATTTCTTGCTTGCATGACCGCACACAGAGATGCTACAACACAAGTTAGAATATTTTTATGTATATATATTTTTAGGAAAAATCTGAAACCAGCCATTAGTCATTCCCCATCTTTCTTTCTTTCACTCACTTTTCAAACAGCTTAAATTCCTCTGGCTCTTTACTGGTATTCAGCATATCTGTCTTTCTTCAGAGCAGCTGTTTACCTGTACTCAGGCATACAGACGCTCCTCCATTCATACTCTGTCAAATTCATAGTCAATATAGACAGATGTATAATGTTCCTGTGATGGGTTTTCTTACCTGTGTGATCTTCTGATCTGGAGGAGGCCAGTAATTCAGAGGCGAGTCCCAACAGCATAATCCACATCCCGATGGCTGGTGAGGAGATCTCTGTGTGAATCCAGACGGTGTTCAGCAGAGCTTCCAGTTTGCTGTGAAAAATGGGAAGGTGAGATTTCAGTGTCAGAACTAATAAAGATCAGAGGAAAGGGAGGTGCATGTTTCAACACACCCCTCTACATTTCCCTAATCCACTCGCCTTCACGCTCTCTCTCAGGCCTCTTTGCAGTGTGTTTGTTTGGTAAGTGACCCTGATTATCTGTAAATCACTGACTGACATAATTCTTGAATCATCCTTCTCCTCTAAATCACCCTGCTACTGATTCTCGTCACGGTTAACATATATTGGCAGTCAAATGAAATTAAACTGTATGATTCAAACCAATGCTAAAGAGATGAACAGTCACTGGACTTTTTTGTTTTGTTTTGTTTTCAACATATTTGAAACATCTGTTGGTCATTTTGTGTGAGTAGTTGCAAAGATGGTAAAAATAATTTTGGCACGATGAATGTCAAAGTTTCCGAGAACTACACGTGACAACTACAGTCAGCTCACAAAGAGACCCCATGCACCGAGTCAATCTCATAAAATAATCAGGCATAAATCAAACAAAAAAAATACATAAATAAATACAACTGCTGTTGCGTTCACAGCTCATCATGCTGTGTTGTCAACAGTACTGTTGTTATGAACAGAGTAAACAAGACACCTCCTGGAAATTCAGATCTTCGAGACTTCTCTCCTCTCACTTCCGTTATAGAGCTGCTGCTTTTTATACTGTTATGAATCCGTCCTTTGCTATGGTGATGCACAAAACAAATGTACACACAAACCCCTAAAGACCTGATGCGGTAAAGATGAGTTTAGTCAAATGTAATTTCCCTGTAACACTTTATAGTGCCTCATTTAATGTTTGTGACACAAAGCTCATTTAAATTCACAATTAAAGACATATATGAGGCACAAATCACATGGCTACTCCGACACTTAACTGCTCATACAGATCTGACAAAGTCCAACAAAATAAAAATAAAAATAAACATGTATTCCCAGAAATGCAAAATACACTCAACATTAACAAAACATGGAAAGAAGTGTGTATTGAAATCATTTGAAGTCAATTCAACAGTTTCTGGTTGCTCCAGCTCATTTAAGTTTTGTCAAGAAATTCATAGGTACAACTTATTTTCATCTGTTCCTCATTTGTAGTCATTTTGAAGTGTGAAAGATGGTTCTGAGCTGGGGTAAGTGGAAACAACAATGTACAGCATGCCCTCTAAGAACTGAAGATGTGCTAAATAATGCTAGTTATGTAGAGTTATTTAGAGTCTGGTACCTGCTGGAATTTTGCTGAAAAGAGGATAATTATTATTAAACATCTTACAAAGAATTCTAACGAATTGCGTTTTTACAAAATCACACTGAACTGAAAAAAAAAAAACAGGAAGTGGTTGCAGTGGTTGCAGTTTGGCAATCTGCACCATGGTAACACAAACTCAAGTGAAGGTGCCAATGAAACCCTTCTAAGCGAGTAACTAGCGACAACGCTGCTTATCTAGTATTATTTATATACAACAGCTTTTAAAAGCTGATGTCACTGATGTTTTAGATTATTTCCGCAGATATAACCCGCAGACCAAAATGAATGAACACTGACAAATATAAAATATGCCTACATCTTTATTTGATTAAAATAATAAAATTAATGCATTTATTTTATTGTTATTATTTAGTAATTAATTTATATTATTAATAGTAGAATTGTATTAATATTAATTTTATAATGAATAAACTATCAACTATCATCATTTTTAATGAGTGAATTTGAGCAGGAAAAGCATCATGTGCATTTTTCTGGCCTCTGCATCATATCTTCCTTTTTTAAGGGATAGTCCACCCAAAAATTAAAATCCTCTCATCATTTACTCAGCCTTAAAGTGGTCATATGATGCGATTTCAATTGTTCCTTTCTCTTTGGAGTGTTACAAGCTCTTGGTGCATAAAGAAGATCTGTAAAGTTGCAAAGACTAAAGTCTCAAATCCAAAGAGATATCCTTTATAAAAGTTAAGAGTCAA